CGTCAGTGTGCGCCGCGCGGCCGGGGCGTCGCGGGCGGCGGGCGGACCCCGGCGCGGCGCTTCTCCCTGTCGCGGGACTGAACGCCCGGTCCTTTGTCCGCTTCGTCTCCACGCGCGTGCGATCCGGGACCCGCACGGGGCGGTGACAGCTGTTTCACCCTCGGTGTCCGGCGGGTTTTCTAATCCCAGAGCAGAAAGCTCCTGGCAGTTACGTCACGCCTCCGAGGGAGCTTCAGGGTAACCTGCATTTACTTTCCTCGTGCGCGAATCTTAAAATCTCGTCCCGGAGAGTTCTGGTCCTCACGGGTCCCGGACCCGGCCCTGGAGGTAGCACCGCAGCCCCGAAGTGGGATGTGACAGAGGCTCAGTGTGACAGCGCAGCAGGGAAGGAAGTGACTTTCGCGTTGGGGGTTGGTGAAGTCGCTGTGCAGGTGATAACGTTTGCACACGTTTTGCCGCAAAATACTAGTTGTATATGAGGTAAAGAAGTAGCTCCAAACAGGATTTTCCCCCGTGTTTGTTTTTCGGTACTATACAGATTGCTGTGTGAATGTAGTGTGAGTTTTTGCACAATCAGCATATTTTTCGCTTACAGTAAATGGGACAACACACGAGTATCATAAAGTGTAACAGGATTTTCCCCCGTGTTTGTTTTTCGGTACTATACAGATTGCTGTGTGAATGTAGTGTAAGTTTTTGCACAATCAGCATATTTTTCGCTTACAGTAAATGGGACAACACACGAGTATCATAAAGTGACCAAGCGCAAGTATTACAAACCCATCATCAAAGTCCCTCTAGGCAGGTTAAATTATGGTTTTAAAATACTACGCTTGTCTTTAGTAAGACATGTATAGGTATAGCTCAGAGCTGTCTTTGTTGTGGGGGCTGTCCTAGACCCTGTAGGGTACTGAGCAGCATCCCTGGCCTCTAACCCAACAGCAGTGCACATACACAGACACACAACGAAGTATGACAACCAGAAGTGTCTCTAGACATCGCCGTGTTGAGAACCACTAGTACAGACACATGCATGTAGTTTTAGCGTCTTTCATGAAGCTCATCACGTTTGTTTATGCTGTTCAGTAAGTGTGCATGGTGAAAAAACAGTGTACGGTCTTGAAACTCAGGGTGCTGTGTGGGCATGGGGGAAGTTTACTGAATTGATGGAAAGAGAGAGTGGGTTGCTCTGGCAGTTCTGCGCGTCTATGGCCTGGTGCCACATCCTGAGAGAGGTAGGACTGCAGACGTGTCACCGGGAGCAAAACGTGGCATATGATGACAGACCTCTGGAGCAGAGGGATCAGCCAGCTGTACTTAGCATAGCAATTCTAGCTGTACCTTTTCTTGGCCAAAGGTTTGCAGTGATTCTGTGCCAAGTCTTCATCCTGAATTGCTTTGGAGGCAGGTGAAAAGGTGTTTGGGTTGAAGGTAATTAGTACTGTCTTTTCATCTTGAGCATCTGATATATCAGCTAAGGCAGTGACATCTACTCATTAAAGAAAATTACTTGAATAATTTTGTTGAATAAAAAGTAAAACTGGAAGAGTTAAAAGACAAAGCTGTTTTACCACAAAGAGCTGAATGAGCATTTGGTTTGTAGTGGACTTGTGACATGTCTAGTTTTTCTCAGCTGCTGACATAGTTGTTAGGGTAAAAATGTTGAGTGCCTCTTTTGAAAAAATATTGTTTATATTTGCAGAGAGCCTTTAATTCTGGAGAGTATGTATGCTTTATGATCTAGTCATACATTAGGCTCTACAGAATATATCAGACATTTCTGTCCTAGTTTGAGCTGTTTTAAATATTAAGGCAAAATATACACTGCAGAAAGATTTTCAAGAAATGCTAATTAAAATGTAGGTATTTAGAGACAACTCAGAATGATCAAATTATTTTGAATTGCCACTTTGAACCCAATTTAATATATGTGCTATATTTAGAATTCCATTTCTAAGTTATTTAATGGGTATCCACTTGAATGTTGGAGGTACAGTTGGGAATAGTATGATGAATCTGTCAGACTTTTGAATGTAACAGTGGAGGGTAACAGGTGGGAGCTTGCTTCCCCATGTTTGAAGAGACAAAAGACATAATAAAGAAAAATTGAAATGAAATACGTTAATTTATTAAATAATAATGTACTTTTTACTTGATAAATCTTTCTGGAAGATTAGGTGGTCTTTTAAAATTTCTGATGCATTTCAAAAATCAACTTGGTATATATAGCATGTGTTAGTGTTAATGTTATAATTTTTTTTAACATCATTTGCCTACAGAAATAAATTAAAATCATTGGATAAAAATCTGTAGCATTCATATTAAGTCAACTTTGGAGAATGTTTTGGTTAGTGGGATATTTTGTTTAAGTCTCTGTTCTTTATGTATACTAATAGATATTTATTTACCATTCTGAATAATTTCATTTTTCTCTTTTTCAGTTTTAGAAAGAGCATTTTCACTACATAAAGCACATTCTACAAAGGATATGGAAAATACTTTTCAGCTGGTGAGAAATATTATACCTCCTCTAAGTGCCAAGAAGTTCAAAGGGCAAGATGGAAGAATAGGAATAGTTGGAGGATGTCAAGAGTAAGTGGCAGATAAAATGTTAGTATTTAAACAGTTGTATTCTGTCTACCTACCTACCTATCATCCATTTGTCTGTCTAGTTCATTTGACCCATCCCAGTAATCATTTCTGAATGTAGTCCGATACAGGTTGAGTATATCTTACCCAAAATGCTTGGGACCAGAAGTTTCGGATTCTGGACTTTTTTGATTTTGGAATGTTTGCATTATACTTGCTGGTTGAGCATCCTTAATCCAAAAATTTGAAATACTCCAATGAGCACTTCCTTTGAGTGTCATGTTGGTGTTCAGAAAGTTTTGGATTTTGGAGCATTTTGGATTTTGGAATTTTGGGTTTGGGATGCTCAACCTGTAGGACACTCAGTATTTTTTTAGTGATCAACTTTTGATTAAATAGGAAAAAACTCTGAGCCCTGATGGAATTGTTCACTGGTATGTGTCAGTGTTAAAGTTTTGCTTGTAGTTGGGAGATGACTCTTTTTTCCTATTCTATACTTTTCTGTATTTGCTAGACTTCATATTGTGTCTTTTATAATCAGTATAAAACACTCAGTAACCTCTTGGCCTACTTTGCCAATTTAAAGATATTCCTGGAAGTCATTTATGAAATTTGATAGATCTTCTGGTTTTATATATTTTGCTGTTGTATTTGTCACATAGAGATTTATATAGCTGGCCCTCTGTATCTGTGGGTTCCTCATCTGTGGATTGTACCAATCTTGGACTGAAAATGTTCGGGGGGAAAAAAATTCCACAAAATTCCAAAAAAACCAAAATTCGAATTTGCTGCCTGTTGTTTACTACCTGAATCCCTGAAATGAAGTGATGTGTAGGCATTATACTAGATATTATGAGTAATCTAGAGATGATTTAAAGTATACGGGAGGATGTGTGTAGGTTATATGCAAATACTATGCCATTTTATATCTGGGACTTGAGTATCTGTGGATTTTGGTATCTGCGGGGGTCCTGGAACCAACCCCCGCTTTGGATACTGAGGGAAGACTAATTTGTGCTTGTGTGTAAATTATACCTTCTGCCTTTCTAACTTCCTCAATGAATTCTTTTTTTTTTTTTTTTTTTTTTTCTTTTTTTTTTTTTTT